GCAGAGCCTGGCCCCTGGGTTCTCATGTCCCAGAAGCCTGGCCCCTGGGTTCTCATGTCCCAGAAGCAGCCCGCCCCAAGGACGTGGCCAGGACTTGTGACCCTGTAAGCATCGTGTCTGTGGTGGGAGGAGCCGGGGCCCTGGGGAAAGACAGGAGGGGCTTTGGTACAGAATGGAGCGGTACGGGGGTCCTCCCACAAACCTGCTCAAAGCCCCCGCGAGTGCCAAGCCCTAAGGGGACGGCGTCTCTGGGCGAAGAGGCTGTGGGCTAAGGTGAGCGCACACTACAGTGGGGCGGGTCCTACGCCCATCTGAGGGGCGTGCGCGCGTCCCTAAAGAGGGCAAGGCACACAGGGCATGTGCTTAGAGGGGACAGAAGGGAGACAGGACCGAACGGGGAGAGAGGTGCCACAGAAGACTCAGCACAGTCTGAGGAACGCCAGCAGACACCCTGGGATAGGACCGCTCCTGGAGTGGACGCACAGATGGACAGACGGACTGAGAGAACAAGTCCTGCCCGGCCTCTAGACTCGTCGCCACCACCCGGCCCCGCCTGTCCCAGCCACTGGGTTTGCAGCACTCTGCCGCTGAAAGACAGCCCCGGCCAGCCGCACCTGGACGCCTGGACAGCATGTGCAGGGTCAGAGGTTCAAGCCTACCACTGCAGGGTCAGAGGTTCAAGCCTACCGCTGCTCTGTAGGAGAAAGACGAGGCTCTGGGCTGTGTAAAGTCTCAGAAACCCGACATGAAGGGATCGAGTCGAGGTTCTTAATGAAAACAAAACGAAACAGCCCAGCTAAACGGAAGCCTCTGAAGTGAACGGAAGGGGGCAGGCGGGCTTCTCCCCTGGGGCTGCGTGGGTGCCCACCCCTTACGTAGCGCCCGGGGCTAAGCTGTGTTAAGAAGATCGGACGTGCGCGAGTGTGGCGCATTCGGAACATAGAGACGACCGGGATGAGAAGGAGCCGCCCGCCCTGCCGCGGCTTGTCATTTCACACCACGATGCCGGCGTGTCACGCTGTCTGCACCACAGTGCTCGCCTTGGCTCACTGGGTCTCCGGGGGGCCCTGCGGGGCAGGGATGGGCCTGGGCCCATTTCGTGGATGAGAAACTGAAGCCAGCGAGCCGGAATGGTCGGGCCCCAGATCTCCACGGAAGAAGGGTGGAGGTGTTCTGCCACCTCCCTGTCTCAGGGCCACTCAGGCCATCTCCTCACGGCTGCTTCTCAGAGCCAATGGGGGGCGCCAGATTCTGGAGGCCACCTGGTGGGGGGGCGCGTGCAGAGCTATTTTCAGCTCCAAGCCCCTGGGCCCTCCAGGCACGTCTTTCAAACCTGGCCGGAATACGTTACATGACGTTCGGCGATTACAAAGAAGCCCGGCTACCTGTTGGCACAACCCTGCTGAGGACGGGGGGTTGCTGTTGCCATCACACTGACCCCAAAGAAACCACCTGCCCTGCCATCGACTCGATGCCTGGGCACAGAGACCCCCTGGACAGGGTAGAACTGCCCCTGTGGGTTTCAGAGCCTGGAATGCTTTGTGGGGGTAGAAAGCCTCATCTTTCTCCCGTGGAGCGGCTGGTGTCTTTGAACTGCTGACCTTGCAGTCTGCGGGCCAACGAGTAACAAGTTACGCCCCCAGGACTCCTGTGTCACACGGAAAACCCTGGTGTTCCACATGGCCACAGGGCCGCCACGCGCAGACAAGGGTCAGTGGAGCGTCCAGACTGAGACAGACTGGGAAGCAAGGTCTGGCAAGCCACTTCTGCCCGTGGGACCGGCAGGACGCTGGCCAAGGCGGCGAGGGAGTAGAAGCCAAGGCGAGGGCCAAGCCCTGGAGCAGAAAGTCCTCAGGAGGCGCCACATTGCAGCCGGGGCGGGATGACGACTCTGCAGGTGGCCCGGGGCTGGGCGAGGTCCGCTGTGTGCAGGACAAGTAGCAGTTGGTGAAATGTGTCCCCCTGGTATGGAGGCAGCCTCTGGAGTGGCCCCCGTGACCATGCCCCAAAACACACACACACA